AAAAGACCACTCTGGGTAAAATTTGATCTAGGTACGCGAATGTTTCATGGTAAAGGTCTACCTTTGTTTTTTTAGAAAAAAAAACCTCTTTGAAATTGCGGGCCTGAGCGTCGTCATTCTTTTATTTACAAATTTTAGCACCGCTTCTCATCGGGGCACCTTCACATATTTTCGTACTATACCTCGAGTTTTACCTGAAATGGGGAGGCACGGGACGATATGTCGGTGAAGCCAACGATATCTGAAAAGAAAATCGTCGTATCTTGATAGAGCTCGGCGACAACGTCCTCGTTTCTTTTTAGTGACTCGGCGATCGTTTTGGGTAACATTTGGTACAGAAGGGTGTCGGTGCGTTTCTTTTCTTTGTTCAGTTCCCTCGTCCTGCAATAAAAGACATTAAGCAGTTAATATTGTGAAAACCATTAACGCCCGAAAGTAAAGAAAAAAAAACAACAAATTGTCGAATACATTTAAGTATGTTCTCGTTTTCATTCCACAGTAAAAATGTTAATGGTCGTATTCTGATTTTACTGATTGAAAATTCACAAATGTCACAACTCTTTGGGAGGATGTCATAAATACTATGCCCTGGCATTGAACGTTATCAAAAGGCCTGGGAAAACGTAGACTCTTGATATTCTCATGTTTTGAATTAGACACATGTAATCACAGGAACATAGGCAAAGTCAGAGTTAACATCTTTTTCAGCCTAGAATTCAAAACTAATACGATTGATTGCATCCCCTGAAACCCCTCCGTAATCAGATCTCAAAAGCCAATCACCAATCTGGTTTAATCTGATCTGCTATGATCTGTGTGATCTTTGTAATGTAATCTCTTCCGTATCAGACCAATGGGACTTTAATGGTCCAAAGTAATTAACTGTTATTATACACTTAAAGACATATGGAAATCCTTCGACCATTGAATAGAAAAAAATTCATGATTTTTCCTCAACCGCCAATAACGTACATGGAACCTCATAACAAATTGCAATCTATAAACCAGTTTTCGAGTTCTGAATTTTTATTTTTACCATTTACCAAGTTAAATTCATCAGTCTCAGTCGCCATGTCCATAACATGAGCGACTCAAAATCTAGAATCTTAGGGGAAAAAAACGGTTTATAGATTGTGATTCTGTTGTTGGGTCTAGGTATGGTGCGCATTAGTGACCATTAAAAACGTATAGATTTCCAGGACAATCGGCTTTTGCAATATAAAGGTCAAAGACTCTTTGTGTGAAATTAACGTCGACGGATTAGAGGCGGATTTCGCGTTGCAATCAAGTCTTAATGAGCTGAGAATTAAATATAATTGTACTTAAAATGCTGTCAGATGTGTGTGTGTGTGTGTGATGGATGGTGAAGAAGATCTCAATTACAAAATTGGCCAGATCAAAAAGCAGTGTTTAGTCTTAAAGTTTTTTTTTTTTGTATCTTATGAAAGTAACCCTCGGGAAAGGGGTCATCTCAAAAGACGCAGTAAGTCATTTTATATGAAGTAAATTCCCGTTTTAATGAAGTTACCTAATATTACGCGTGACATGGGGCTGAGCTAAGTGATGGATTATGCCTTTAGATTTTTTGTGAATCTTTTATCATCTCTGAAATGTGGTTATAACCCAAATTCTTTCATAGTCTTCAGGGTATCGAGGATCATGGGTATTGATGTAATGAGAGAGAGAGAGAGAGAGAGAGAGAGAGATGTGACGCTATTCTCACTTGGCAGACAGCATCATGGAAATCCCCTGCATTTGGCTGGTAATCATGTAAATGGCTTTCGTTATCATGGGGCACAGCAGTAGGGCTATCATAAACGCAACGCCCTCCCCTAGAAAAAAACATGGAGAAATAGCAGTTTTAACAGGTACTTTTCACAATGAGCGGTACACGTTGACAAATTATTATTTTTTTTAAATTTTCTAAAGATATTGACCAGTTACTAGGCTACCTGGGTATAACACATGAGAGACCCTGCTGTCGACCCTAGTGGTAATCATATAAATAGCAGGACGTAAACTTGTGGAAAACTTATGAAAGTGAGTAAAACCCTATCGTGTTATAACATGTTAAGGGTTTTCAAGTTGGCATGTCCAAACAGCCAAGCCCTACGAGCTGATATATTCACCTTTTATAGTTTTACAAACTTTTTTTCTGCCTTGAAAGTAACTAATAAATATTTTACGTCAAACTAAATATCGATGTGAAGGAAACGATGAAAACAAAAACATCCAAAGTAATCCTTCCAGAAATGCTCTGTATATGCTTAACAAGCAAAACCTCATGTATGGTTTCGGAACAGGCGTTGTGCGGCATAAAATACAGTGCCCAGTGTAACGTGACACATACTCCCCATGACAGAGAGTCCGCTTCCCCATAATTTGTACAGGTACCTGTAAGCCTTGCCCTAGATTTTGACCCACTTAGGCAAGGCTAACCCTAACCATTATTACCAAGTGAAGGGCGGAATTTCTGTTGCACGGATCCTCAATTTCGTTACACCAGACTATCGTAACAGGAGATAAATCTACAAGGTGGCGTTGTCAATGAGAAGGAAGAAAGTTTTCATTTGACGTCGTGGATAGGAACGAACCCTCAATGGCTCCACTGTACCTTCGCTGATTTTAACCCGGGCAGACACCAATAGGGTCGTGGGTGCGTACTCTAATTAATCAACTGTAATTATTTTGCTAGGAATTTCAGCCAATGTGGGCATTTGTGAAACCAAGCAAACTGCCTTTTCCATGAAAATTACATTGGTGACGCAGATATACCTTCCAACATCCTGGTTACCGACAGCAGGTGGGATATGGTAATTATGTCATTAAGGTAGTGCTTATTGTCTCCTGCTGCGTACCAAGTTTCAAGCCAACGTTTTCAGTTAGTATTTCTACATGTACCGTGTATGATGTCACCCTGTGCGCTATTCAAAGTTAGGGGTTTTGGGTGGGAAGCATGTACGATTTCCATTTGTATAGCCCCATTCAGAATAAGGGACTAACTAGTCCGAGGGTCAAATATGACGACCCACTACAAAGCTTGCCGTCTAATCCGCTAATAAACACTGAATAGATATCCGTGGGGTAGTATTCACGTGCGTCGGCCATATTTGACCCTCGGACTTGTGAGAACCCTATTCTGAATGAGGCCATAGAATGACCTATTCAGAGTGGATGATCCAAGTACTCACTGATCCACCGACTAAATATGGCCGACCACAGTTCAAAATGGAACCCGCCGCTGATCCCTGATGGTCTCCCCGCCTCCACACGTGCCATGGCTGCAATGGCCTAGCAATTAAACCTCGAACCAGATATTAAATCCGTTTACAGGCACGTGTGGAGTCGGGGAGACCATTAGGAATCAGCGGCATCGCCTTTGAACTGTGGTGGTCATATTTAGTCGGCGGATCAGTAAGTACTCGGAGCATCCATTCTGAATGTGGCCAATAATGTTATTATTATTATAATAATTTTATTATTATTATTATTATTATTATTATTATTATTAAATTTATGACATCGGAGGAGTGCAATATATGAGAAAGACAACTTTACCCACAAGTTCCAGTCGCTCGGCGTGTGCCCTTTCCCTCAGAGTCACCAGCATCGTGTCCGCCACCACCTTCTGGATGTCTAACATAATGTCAATTTGGAAGGTCAAATTATCGTACCAGTACAACGCCATTGTGGCCGAGCGGTTACGACCTGTAAACGCGCGTTCACGGATGTCTTCTCTCATATCCGAGATCATGCTCGTCATTGTCTTGTTCTTCAAATAAGTCTTGTTGTACATTTCCTGGACCATGTCGGCGTAAAGATTTGCGCCTCCAAGCATCGACTGGGCGTTATCTTGCGCCTCTAGAAACCGCAAGTAAGTTTCTCTTGTTTCGAAGCCTCCCCTAGCGTAGAATATAGCCCCAATAGAACGTTCGATTCCGAGCTCGGACTTGGCCTGGACTATACTTAGGTATGCGACCAGTCGCTTCCATACGGATCCGCTAGCTACCTAAAATCAATGTTTAAAAAAATCATCAGTCGTATATCACATAACGCCTTTTTGGCTGACGGGACAATAAACACAAAAATCAACATCTAGTCATTTAGCCTCAAAAAGGCCTATTTGCCAGGGGTTAGTATATGGGACGAATGCAACCTGTAGAAAGTAATGGGGAACACACTGCGGTTCCCAGAATTACCTCTTCGCTCGCCAAGTTGTACATCCATCTGACGAACAGCTCAAGATGCGATGTATAGAAATCCAGCTCCCTGAGGACTCTTTGCTGCTCGTCCTCAAGGCCATAGCGGTGTGCCTTCAGGAACAAAGAAAACCTCTCTTTGCTCTGATAGTGCTTTTGGCTACTCATCAGGTGCATTGGCCAGTTAGTGATATTCTCAAGCGCTTCGTCAGTCCTTGGGTATTGCAGTATCAGTGCTCTCTTTGTTTCTGGGCCTGTCCGATGAAAAAGTTACATGTATATTTCAACATATCAATTTTAGATGTGTATTTTAACATGTTGATTTAAAAATGAAAGAAGAGTGGACTCCACAATTTTTGACTTAAATTTTCATTTTAACTCCGAAATGTTCCGGATGTTCTTAAAATCTACTGCGAGGCGCAACTCATTAAATCTGCATAAATTCTCACCATGTGTTTTGGCCAGAATTGCCCATCGACTAAAAGTTCTCTGTGAAACAAAATCCAGTTTTGCATGTTATTTAATAAATTACCTATAGAACTGTGATATAAGGCACTTGTGTCTCTCTCGTTTTGCAGTTGTCGTACAAACGCTCCCATTGTTGTACACTCGGATATAGCCTGAAGATGATCAAAACACACCATCGGAAATGTACAAATTAAGTTCTCAAGTCTGAGTCAAATTTGCTCTTGACGTCTCATAACAACTTTGCGTGACCATCTTAGTTAAAAAGGGTCTGCTTCATTGACTTTTCAAACTAAACTTATGACAAAAAAGACAATCTTAGTTTGAATTAGCGTTTATAACAAAGCGGATTTTCCTCATGATGGATATTGTATTTAGAAAAAAAGGTTTACAGCCGTAAGGTGATCATCCGTAAGCATAAACACATAGATTTGGAGGTGTGAAAACCTTTTGGTCAAAAGTGTATTGATGTATACTGTTTATACGTAACACCGAGGCTAACACACATGAAATAAAACAATACACATATATCTATATATATATATGTACCTGTTGAAGGTTAATTATGCCGGTGTAGGCTGCGATTCTCTCGCCAAATATGGCAGCTGTGATTCCCATCAAGACGACATTAGGGAACATGGTGAAAATTATCATCTTTGCCATCTGCTTTCTCTTTCCGGATTTTGTTATCGGGTTACCTGGTTGAAAAGAACAATTTTCACTAGCTACATTTCCATTAATTTAGAAATATTAGTATATCATATCTGGATATGTACAGCACTTAATTTTAAGGCTCGTCTCTCAAAAAACAAGCATTGAACTACGGGAGCCCCATCAATACAATGGTTGTTCATTTCATGTTGCTTGCAACAAGCAATAAATGTAAGCCGCTGTGTCGAATTTCAGACCATATTAATGCTGAAAATCTTAATATTGCCTCGTTTCATTTCCGTCACACATAACCAGAACAAATGTTTCAAACGTGTCAAATGTAATAATGCAATATGCATGCAGGGGCAAACAGAGGACAAGGATATTGCCTACAGAGCATGTCCTTTTTGTGTACTTTCACATTATAGCTGGCCATATGAATTTAATCACCTTAGAGTTCTCATTACATTAAGGTGGTCTTGAAATCCATGTACTCGTAAAACATCGAAATAACCACACAGCTAATTTCAATGCTTAATGCATTTGAGTAACAGATGCATTGGTCAAAGTGTATGGCTAGCTGCAGGTCTATATAGGGCGGTGGAAGGGTGTATTAGGGTTGGGTTTTCACGTCATATTTCTATAATGGTTGAAATTTTGTCTGTACTCTTGTCTCCAAAAAGAATTTGGTTCCCTTGTACCGGTAGCTCTGTACTGAGTACTTAATTTACTTCTTACATTGAATACTGTTTTTATTTGCGGGCTCTATAAAACTTCTTGAATCTTGAATCTGAGGATATTGTCAGTCTGGTCAGTCTATGTACTGGACGGCTATTTATCAGATGGAATGAAGAGGGGTGAACCTTTTGTGTCCTAGAACATTCGGAACAGTGGATTAACAGATCCACAGATAAAATATGGCGACCCACTAAAAAGCTTGTCGCTTAATTCAGGATTAGACACTGAATAGATTTCCTGCGGGGATTACGCAACAAGCATTCAAGTGGGACGGCCATATTTGCTCTGCGGATCTGTGAGTCCCCTGTTCTGAATGAAACCCTACACTCTCCACTTTTTTTTAATCTCTGCAGCCCTGACAGTAATTTAATCCCTGTAATCGCCAGTGTCCTACTGCTTACAAATGCGGCCTTTAAACTGCCATCTGACAACATTAAACTTGTAAGGCCTCCTGAAAGTAATCTACATGTAATTCTCTAAAATTACTGACAATCAAGCCTAGATTACAATTGCCACGGGCACCGTACGATGAAATCGTATACGATTTTCTGTATGACTTTTTAACAGCTGCAGCGAGTACGTTGACTTTACGTAAAGGTGCCTTGCCATTTCTTCGATATAACCTTTTTGTCACGGTTTGAAGGTGATCGTGCGGAACCTTTTCAATCTCAGTGTATTTGCCGTACGCCTTCCGTTTGGCTTCCTTGAATACATACATGTTGTCGGTTAAACA